TAATAAACTGGCAATTATAGCGACACCCAATTTGCCAAATGGAAGTGAAGTACTGCAAAAGATTACCATTTTTATTTTTAATTAACATGATCATAGTACTCCTCGTAGTTGTACTTGAGATGAGATGACGTGTGGAATGCATGTATTTTTTATTAGCCAACCTAAATGTATCTCAAGGACTGTTATAAAGAGTAGCCTACCTTGTTATTTTTTTTTACTGTTTCTAGATGTGGAATACGTAAACGCAGAACATAGTTTTCAAGCAATTCTCAAAAGAAGCAATTCCTTTTAACCCACTTTACAATTATATTGAATGTTTTTCTTTCTCTGCTCTTGATTTGACTTTGACCTTGACTGTAAAATGCAGTTACTACAAAATGTTGCATCAAACAAACATTAAAATAAAAGAATGGCAGCAAACAAGAACATCCCTTTTTTAGCCAGCAGCCATGCAGCCTTACAGTCCTCAGCTGAACCACTTCGTTCATATGTTTGCATCCTCCAAGGTCAATCGTATTTTTATTTATCATGTTTGGCCTTCAGGGGCTGCATGTTATTGCAATGTGAGAACATGTTGACAGCTGCTTTTTCCCCCTCAATTATTGTAGGATTTGTTTCCCTCTCTTTCTCTGTCCAATGATTGTAACAGTATCACTGCAGTGTGCAAAGATCTTTTTCTGCTTTGAGCCGAGCAGAACCATCCCATCCGGAGAGATATTGACACAGTAAAACTGAATTCAACACAAGGAGGAGCGCATCGACAGACACATTAGAGACGAGAAGTTAAAACAAAATACAATGAAACCATGGTGTGCCGATTACACTCTGCTTCAAACAGACCCAGTTTGTTGAAGAGCTTATAAAAGCTTATAGATTTGTATAGGTGGTTTTAGCGGGCTTAGGCCATGAGGGGAACTGAGTCAATGGTGTGGAAGATCGGAAAACAGGTCATGCGATTTTGGTTTAATCTTCAGCATTTGTATTGATCCAACATTTTGAGGGAGGTGTTGGAAACTGGAGGCAAGGGTTTGTAGTGTTGTAAATTATCTGGAGACAGTATTTCCCGAACATTGTCGTCAAAATGATTCAAAGAATAATTAGGAAATGATTGCTCCTTGTCTTATCATGTCAGTGAAATTTGAAACATGAGCAGTTTTATGATACAGGACATGATTGTTGACTTTTATGCTGGCTTGGTCGTGTAGTGCTATCTCTGTGGCGCAGCTGTGGCTTTTAAAAGGTCCCCTCATAAACCAAAATGGCTATAAAATGCCTGCAAGTTCTTTATAAAGGGAAAGAAAGAGGCAATAGTAAAGATGAGCAGAAAGATGGCAAAAAAAGAGAGAAAATTGGGAAGGCAGAGATCAAAGCAGGAACAGATGGACGGTTATGAATCAAAGGAAAGGTGCATAAAAAGATAAAAAGATATCTCTCTCTTTGCATCCCAGAATACTCCCCTGTGAGGATTTTTATCTCAAATGTGGAGAAATTATTGATTCAGATGTGACCATGAAGCTTTTATTGTACAGTACACAGGGGGATGAATGTCGTTCGTGCATCTTCTAACCAGCTGGACGCTTCTCCTTTTCGCCAATAACACTTATTGATTCAATTCAAATGAGCTCTGCTTCTTTTAAACGCCACGTCAAGAAAAGGATGACTCAGCAGGTTTTGGTGTCCGAAGTTGTTCTTTCTTTATTCATAAATCATATTGTCAATCAATCCGCACGTAAAATCAGGAACATGTCAGAGTGGGATGTTAGCGAAGTTACCCCAACTAGAAGTAGTCATTATTTAGAAAATGCAATTGTAAAGTTGATTAGAAGCTCATATCAATTTGATGGACGTGGCGCTACATGGAGTATCTTGTTAGCCTAGCTTAGCATAAAATACGAAAGTAATACATACGGACATATTCTGGAGTCTCGTCCTGACCACGGTATTGCCAAGCAACTATAAGAGAAGTGACTGCACGATAGATTTTACACTTTCTAAACTGATTTTAGAACAAACACCAAAATATATAATATCTTATCTAGTGAGCTTTAGAGATATTTCAAGCATACTACGTCATCAAGTGCCGCCGAAGGACTGTTCCAATGTCCAGCATACTTGGAATTCTACCGTGCCCGGCGTACTTTGTAGCGAGAAATTTCAAGGCTGCACATGTGTAGATTCCGCGGTCTTAAAATCCCCACAATGCTTTGCGCACGGACCAATTTCCCCAAATCTGTGGTGGAAAATGTAAGGCGGGGCCTCTCATATGACGCACACCTGCACACTTGTTCGCCTGTTCCACTCTTCGTTTTCCGAATGCCAGGAAGTATTCTTGCCTCGCTTCTGAAGCAAGTGAATCAGAAGACATGTGCTACCAAGCAAGCGTTCTCGACATTGAGAAATACCCTGAGTCTATTAACCTAGTTGTTTTTATACCTTGTCCTGCAGAATATACTGCCTATATCTGCAGGAGCAAGAGGCTCAGTTGTTTCCAACGCTGGCACTAATCTGCGTCCCCTCAGAGATCGCCTGTGTTCTCGACCTATTAAAGACGGCCACAGCGGTGTCATGGTCGTTACAGCGAACACAATTAGAGGAGCCGTTAACAATGGGAATTAATTTGCTGTCATGCCCTCCTTGTATTGTCTACTGTTGCTGTCAAACACCCCCCAACCTTCCTTTAAAGCTCATCTTGCTTTTTCTTTCTCAGTCTTTACAGAGCGGTACAATAAGAGACCTTTAGAGTCTGCTTAGCCAAGAAATTCTAACTTTTCAAAGGACCTTTTGTATCTTGCAATAAACTGTTGCAGAAAGAACAGATTGAAGTAATCTTTAAGTGAACCAGCCTTCTTGAAAGACGTATACAAGAAGACATACATCTCTTCTTTTCCCAGAGGACAAACGGAAAGAAAAGCAGAGGGTGAGGAGGGCAGAGAGTTTGCCTACATGACAGAAGATGGAAAGGCAACAGGGGGGTGATAAGTGATCTAGGGGTGGTTAATGCTGAGTTCACTGTACAGGCCTTACATTCTCATTTCATGTCTGAACTCTCTTCTCTCCATCCTTCCCTGTGTCTTTAGTCCATGGATAAGGACACGGCATATGGAAGCTGCTCTTTTTTTACTGGATACATCTTCTGACAGCAAGAGTAATTGAGCAAATAGCACTCTTGCACACACCATGCCTGCAGGACCCAGAGCAGGGGTGGGGGGGGAGTTGTAGAGAGGATAGATGGAAAATCAGTGTAAAAGGGGGCAGATGAGAGGAAGAGTGGGGGGAAGGGATGATGCTGGAGAACGAGATGGATTAAGGGAACGTGAAGAATGTGAGGCAGCAACCAGGTTGAAAGATAGGACACACTGATGGAGGAGGAACGTGAAGCACTCAGGCCTTCTCACATACACGTTAACATTTTATAACCTCACTCTTTCTCCGCTAAATTTCAGTATCACCAGTTTGTTCCAGAAGAAAAGGGGAATGTCGATTTGTTTAGCAGCCATACTGCCAAACTACGGGGATATTTATTTAAAAAAAATCTGTTTTTGTTGATAGAAGTGCTCAAAATAACCTCTTTTTCATACTTCTTAAAGTGCAACCTTAACATTTTTGTGAGCTGTATGGTAAACATGCTGGAGGGGAGGAATTGATTCATTGTTTAAGTGATTTATCAAGCAAAAACCCTCTGGTTCCAGCTCCCTGAATGTAAAGATTTGCTGATTTTCATTATAATATATCATAGTAAACTGAATATATTTGACCATATTCCAACATTTAATTGACAACATGATTGATCAGCAAATCCTAAAGACAGGCAGCCCTGTAGCCAAATGTAGTTAGTTTTATTATTCAAGGGAACAAACTTTACAGAAACATTTTTTGAACCACATCAACGTCTCTGTCTCTGTCCGTGGTGTGTGTCTCTTTGTTTATGTCCATGGTGATAAAACACTGTCTCTACTTCTGTCTTTATATCATTCTTAAGTTAAACTGAGCAAAGACAGACAGCAATCTAAAGCACAACAGTACACATTTAATGGCCAAACACATTGCACTCTACATTGATATTATGTGACCAGTTGTAACCCTTTATCTTGAGAACAAACATATATTTATTTATATATGTAAAATAAACAGTTATGTTCACATTTACTGGTTAGCTTCAAACGCAATAGGGTTCATGAAAATCCTTTCTGTGTTCTTATCCCAATGAAGACATTATTTGTTCTTCTAACTCTCTTAACTGCACACACTTTCAGCCTACTAAATGCCACCCTTTCATGAGGAGGTGATAATTGTGTTTGGTTTTTTATAGGCATAATCAACACCCCTAAACCCCATTTACGGTTACCTGTTCTGCTTGGTTTGTGGGCCTAATACATAGAGAATACTTTTACCAATGAGTAAAAACAACAACTTTCAAACTGCACAGCATGTCAAAACCAAACAAGTGAGCAGTGACTACAGAGCTGTAATGAGATCTGAACACATTTGAAACTATTATAGTATCAAATCATGCACTAAAAACAAGTTAAATCTTAATGTACACCCACTTGTATTCATATTCTACAATGCCCTGAGTTCAGAACAAATCTGGCAATCTTCAATGGCAGTGGTGACTAGAGAATGTGATTGAGCGGTCTTGCCGACATCGGAGCATCGTTGGTCTTTGACATGTACTTACAATAATTGATACGGCTGTACTGTAAATCTGGCACCAAAGATGTCCATGGCTAAAATCCAGGCAGCCATTATCTTCTGTTTGCCAAACTAACCGAGATTGGGCTGACAAAAACACAAGGGCTAATGCAAGAATGAGTCAGAAGACAGACTATTGGTCAAACCGGCTACAGCCAGGAGGCACAGTGAATGCTGACTGTGGAGTAAAATCAACTGCACCCAATTCTAGTTGATCCCAAGGGATGGAATTTAAAATATGACTTGAAGAATGAAGAACAGATCATGACTTTACATTGTTTTAATATTTACTATCTCTTTTCCCGCAGCAACCAAACAGTGCTTCACCAGTTCTGCTGCCCCGCCCCCGAGGCCCATGAGGGGGAGACCTCTACTGCCTGTGTCCCCAGGTAAGACCTCTGCATCCTTTAAACACCTGCACAAATATTAAGTTGTTGACTTATATTATTATTTATATTTATCATTTATTTCCTTTTGAACAGTTTGATTTGTATTGTTTGTACATTGTAATTGCAGCCACTTACCATGCATCCTGTTAGTAGCGATGCGGCCGTAGCTCCTTTAGGCAACACAACTACCCCAGCAGAGGTTTCTGTACCTTGAAGTGGTTGTAAATGCTTCAGGTCACTTTCAGGGACAATCTGAATTCCTAAGCTCCATGATCAGTATAAGCCAATAAGAGGGAGACTGTTATATCAGCTTGGGTTTTGGGTCCGGTTGAGGCTGTGAGATTGTTCCCTGAGTGATTATGAGACCGTTATTTCCACAGAGGCGTCAGATAAAGATAAATAAACTCAGCTGTAATATTCAAATCAATCACTTCCAGATCCCATTTCCTGGACAATGGTCAAGTCCTTGGTGAGTTATTGGAATAATATTACATTGAGTTTAGTCAGCAAAGCAAGGCGATTAAGTTGTTATCTCTTTATATCAGATTGCCACATGACAGTGATGGAGCTGATGCTGGCCAATTAGAAATCAAACTGTGTACACTTGCATACGATTTCCAAAAAATAAGCTCCTGTAATACATCTAATATGCCTTTGTACCACATCTTTGTGAGGGTAAACATCTAGAGTTGAATCGGAAGTTCGTCAGGTATTAAAAGATTAGATTGGCATGAACAAAAATAAATAATAATCACCTTTGACAAGGTAGAGGCAGAATTGACCACACACAATTGTGTTTGCCTCCTGCTTGTATTTAATAATGGACCACCAGAGTTTCACTAATAATTATGGCATTCATCAGGCAGCAGTAGCAATTAAGCAACCCGTCCAACAACAGTTTGTTTTTTTGTCGACTGCTACTCACGCATTGTATGAGCTTGGCAGAAAATAGCAGATTGGCGAACACATATTGATGGCAAATCATAGACCCTGCGGTGCTGGAAAGAATAAGTGGCAGAGCAAGAAGCAAACAAAATCACACTTTAAACCCCTCAGAGGGCTGTGCTGTGTCAGCCACATGGATAGACTGAAGGACACATACATGTAGGGTTGAATGGAGAGCAGGGAACTCTTTTTATTTGCTTTGTTTGCTTTACCAGATAATTTCTCCGGTGTTGACTGACTCAAAACCCAAGTCTCTTACAGTATTTGTTGTCACAAAAGTCCCTTAATGCCTCTATGTAATACATTCATAGACAGTGGTAGAAGTTGAACAGGAGGTACTCACATAAAGTCAAAGATGGTGGGGAAATTGAAAAGCCAAAAGTCATGAATCGATTGACGCTCAGCAGCTTGCTCGATAAAAGCTGTTTGGTGCTGTTGTGTTTTGTGATTGCTTTGGGCTTAGGGACCATTAGCTAAAGGTACAAACAAAGTTCACAACAGAAGGGCTTTGCTAACTCACCGTTCTCTGAAGCGAACCACTTCAAAGCAGGACTCTCTGGGGCCGAGACAGAAAGCAGCTTGTGGTTTTGTCTTTTTCGTTCTTGTTGTTCTTGTTGCGTCTTATCTCTTTTTGAAAGCCGTCGTTGATTTCCGTATTTCTGCATTGTTGTCAGTGATTTGTTGGTCATTTACTCACGTGGCATCACCACATCACATCACAGCGACACAGCTCCACATGGCACCCACACCTCATCGCATCCATCATCATTCATGGTCACTTCATTCGGGCTTGTCTCTCCACTGTGCTCACGTTAAGTTTGAAAGAGTCATGTATGAGTATTGCCATGTAACAAAAGTGTAAATATGCAATGTAAAAAAATACCATAATGCATTGGTGTGTGTACTGTAGGGTCTTTAACATGCTGGAACCTGGTGAGCCTCCTTGTTGACACATGTAATGCATCTGTGTTCATGTGAAAAAAAACAGTTCTTATCATGTTGCATGCTTTGGCTTGGCAGTGATCAGAACATAGCTCCCTGTCTTTCTGTGTGTGTGTGTGTGTGTGTGTGTGTGTGTGTGTGTGTGTGTGTGTGTGTGTGTGTGTGTGTGCCAGTGTGTCACTAACCTACATTAGATTACTTATATACCCTGGGAAAGCACACACCAGTCTGCACACCACCACAACAGCAGTGAAATCCATAGATTAACATTATTTACATCAATTTTAGGCTTTTTTGATTTTCCTCTTCAATCTCATATATCTGTATATGAATGGATAGAGAAAATGTCTGAGTTACAAGAATTCAAAGATTGTCAGACTTATTTTGGGGGATAATAATGCGCCCATGTTTCTGTAAATGCGCGACTAAAGTTTCCACAATGTTTTGGAGGAAGTGAGCCGAAAGTAGAATGCTGTGGCCTGCAACATCAGCACTGTTGAAAAAGTGTATTAGTAGTTTACAGTTCGTTTAAAAATTGGAATCGTTTAAAGTTTGCTGAATTAGCTATTAGCAGTTCTTGTTTGCAATGTTACATTACATTACATTGCATTTAGCTGACGCTTTTATCCAAAGCGACTTACAATAAGTGCATTCGACCAAGAAGATACAAACTTGAAGAAAACAGAATCATATAAGTACATCAGGTTTCATAGAGCTAAAACATTTCAATGGAAATCGGTCATCAGAAAGTCAAATCAACTCTAAATCAAGAAATGTGTATATGTATTGCAAGTGTCTTGGTTTAACTAAGTTATAGCAATTTTGGACGCAAACTGCTGCAATTAAAATATGCTAACAACCTACACGTACCTCTTTTTCCTATCAAAGCGAGTGTATTCTGTCATCCTGAATGATTGAGGGGATCCGACCGCCAACAAACAAGGCCTGATTACCATATAAAAAGGACAACTCATCGCCTCTTTGTGCATGGCCTCCACTTCAGGATGTAATGAAACCCTATTTCCCACGCTGAACCTGACAGACAAAGTGCAATCATTGATATTTCATTTGCGCCGCTCTTTCAGCTGAGAGTAATTCAAGCCTCTGAGTCACAGGGGTCAGCTCAGAAAAGGGCACCTGCCGGAGCCTCTACAAGAAATCATTGTAGTAAATTGAAGCAATGCTTGCTCTTGATTTGTACCTGTCCGCTCTGTGGAGCTTTATCTGATCAGTTAGGAAGCGTGAAACGACAGGTAATCCTCAGAATCACAATCAGAATCCCTTCTTTTTCCAGCAACGGGGAAATGTGCACATTACAACAGCAGAAGTCTAGTGCAGATAAATAAAGTAAAGAGAATAGACTTACATATACAAAAAGTAAGATAACTAAGTATGCATACGTTATTAATAATACAAAAACACAAGTAGTACAAAAACAAATAGCAGATAAATGCATCATGGTAAAACAAGTTGCATGTATATGTATATATATATATATCTGCGTTTTTTTAAAGTGAACATATCAAATTAAAGAGTTAGCCTGTACTGTTTTCAGATTGTAGATACATTGGAATAAATAATAAAGCGTGAATTGCACAAGGGTATATTGCAGTCTTATATTTACAGGTAGGGTTATTGCACATCAGTGGTGTTACAATCTAACACGGTGTATGTAGGACAGAACAAAGTTGGATGTTTTCAACTGAGAGGGTTTTGAGGATTCCACTGTCACATTTAATAAGGACCCTACGGAGGTCGGAAACTCACCCTGGTATTCTGGTCACTCTTGCAAGTCTTTAAGGAGGCACCATAGGGATTAGGGACTATAGGGGGTTGAATTCAGGGTCACCAAGTCAGATATATATTCATTCATGGAAGGAGCTGATGGTGTGGATGGCCACTGCCTTTCAATTACGACTGTGAGCTATCTCCTGCCGCAGCGTGCTAACACTGCACACTGGAGTTGTTCCTCTTACAGCTCCATAGGGACCTCTGCTTATACTTTCTGCTTTGCAGCGAAACTGAGAACTGCTGCGGTGGACACACAGGGACCAGAAACCTAATAAAGGGAAGGAAAGTATTATTAGAGTATTCTAGCATGGAGAATGGCACAGCAGGAGAGCTATAAACAAAGACACTCAAGCTGCAGGAAGATGTTACCTTCAAAATCGCTGCTTTGTGTTTTGTGTATTTTCAAGAGTCCACTTCTAAACCACACTGAAGCTAACTGTGTACATACAGTAGAAAGGCTCATACTCATTCATAAAATGTCTGAATTTGACAGTCAGAGCTTCCGAGGATGAGGAAAACATCCCAAGAAACAGTATCTGTTTGCACTTGATACAACTTATGTTGCACAAATTGATGTTCACAGTTGGATGCCACAGTTTGAAGTTTACTCAAGGGTTTGGGATCACATCCAAATCATTTTTACCAAGTGTTGAAGTGAAACTGCCTCCATGAACTCCCACTTGCAAATGGAGATAGCTGCAGTGTTGTTTTATCAACAGTGTGTACAGTGTGTGTGTGTGTGTGTGTGTGTGTGTGTGTGTGTGTGTGTGTGTGTGTGTGTGTGTGTGTGTGTGTGTGTGTGTGTGTGTGTGTGTGTGTGTGTGTGTGTGTAAACAAGTACAAGTATCAGTCTGAACAGAGTGAGCACTGGGTATAATAACTCAGTCACAGAGACATGAGGATTAATTTCCTTACACCAGTGAAATGTACAGATGAAACTGCTGTTGCAATTATAACTTTCTAAATGATTTATTTTCCGGCAAGGTATCAAGTATCCAACCAACTGAACAGTTTCCCTTAAAACCATTTCCCTTTTAACAAACATAATGTATATAAAGACCACATTCCTGGAATATCATCCAAGACACACAATGTCTTGAATAACGATGTCTTTAATCAAAAACTTTGTCCCGCGAGTGCCAATATGCATTTGAATGCATCACAATTAGCATAAAATCTACTCTGCTGAGTTCTCATACTTGTAGTTTTAAATTTAGTTGAACTTTTTTAGCAGAGAAGGACTGACACAGTATGCGTTTTCTTGCTTCAACAGTAGTACTTTAAAGGGTTGTTGTAAGTACAAATCTGCCCCCCTGACTGAA